GCTCAGTTCTTGTTCAGCAGCGAAGAACGATGGGAGAAGAGCTGTGTGGGCAGGTGGAGCCATGAACAGGCAGCACTTTTCAGCACCATCCCTTATGAAATGCGATATGCATGAGTATGTTCTTTTGATACAGCCTCACGGAATGGTTTACATTGGAAGGGACCTTCAGTGACGACTGCCACGGCCTCTTGCAGCTATCAGCGCTTCATTTCATCAAGAGGAGCTGAATCAGCCCAAATATGCTGGCCAAATTTTCTCTTTGGGCAAGGTTCCACTTCAATTTTGCTGTCCTGAACAGCCTATTATGTAGTTAAGCAGCTCCAGCATTACCCCATGGAGGTAGCTGCACTTGAGAGATAAATTAAGCGATTTCTGTGTCTGCAGAGGCCTCGTTCCTGCCAGGACTCTGTGTATGCAGATGAGTGTGCCATAAAACAGCTGTTCCTGAAAGATGGTCCCTGGAGGTGCACATGGTGAATAGCTGCTGATGGGCCACGGGGCTGCAGAGAACCTGCCAGAGCTGCCAGTGGTGAAGAATGAGCTGCAAGGAAGTGGCACAACCTACAGGAACGTCTTAACTGTGGTTCCTGGGCCCAATTGTCTGGGACCATGACAGTGAAAAATTGTTATGTCGAGAGACATATGTCTATATTCTCTTTCTGTTCCATGCAGTGTGAAATGGCCTCTTGTCTGCTGCTCCTGTCCATGCAGAGAGACGTTCCCCTACTGCTCTGCCATGCACAGAACCCCTAGGGTTAGATCTGAGGCTCAGAAAGAGCAGCTGCCCAAACCTGCACAACCATCACGTCTAAGTCCTGTGCCCCACATCCTCCCCCGTGTTAGCTGGGCCAGAGGGCAGACCCAAGGAGAGGACAAGGTGCTCAGGGAAGGCTGTTTTTGCAGCAGGTACCCCAGGTGGATCTCTCCTGCTAAGCAAGCAGGGGAAAACGCACTTGAGAAGGGGAGACTTGCCAAAATCCCTGACTGAGACGGCACTGCTGCAGGCACCATCAGCTCCTGTGCCTGGTGCTGGCCAGGGGTCGCCTCTGGTGCCCTCCCACGGAGCTCCTCTACTGCAAGGATCTCACTGCCATCGTCACGGACAGGAAAAAGCAGAGATTGTTCCAGAAGATTCATTTGATGCTCATCAGTCCCCTCCTACTCCCTGGAGGGATGGCATGAGCATCGCCCCCATCTCTGCTTCGCTCAGGTCTTCCTCTCGGTTCAGCGCGTCTTTGTTTCTCCTTCAGCGCAGGCTGGGACCGTGCGGGTCCTCCTGGCTGCGGGAAGGGTGCTGTGTGAGCAAACTCCCTGGCAGCACCCTGCTGTGCCAGCTCGCCAGGCGGTGGGCGGGGCCCCCTCCCCCAGCCGCAGCCTGGCCTGGAGTGCGTGTGGAGGCTAATAAAGTGCTTGGAGATCCTTCTGGATGAAAGGCACTGTATGTAGGAGGATGTCAACCTGTCGTACACCAGGAAGCACCTCTCTAGACATTAAGGGGTTTGTTGATATCCCTCACCTCAAACTCAGTTTGCGGGTGGTTTCCCCACACCCTACGATGTACTAGGAACGGGAGTAACGTTGCCTCACGATTCTTTTAAGCTCTCAAATACTGAGGCTCCTGTTTCACAGGTTTTCACAGCTGGACACCTGGAGCTGCCAAACCAGCTTCAGGCCCCAAATCAATACACACAAAGAAGCACTCGATGTGTCAGGCCCTGGTGTGCCACCAGTTCCGGCGCTGCGGCGCCGAGGAGAACACCCAGCCCACCCTGGGCAGGGACGACCCCAGGCCTGGGAGGCAGAGGGCTGAGCTGGGCTGAGCTGGAGGGGAAGGACCTGGCACGGAGCAGTGGTGCTGCTCGAGGTGCCATGGGCTGGGAGCCACTTGTGGGCACCTCTGCAGGGCACCACCATGTGCCAGTTACTCCTTGTCCTTGCAAAACCACCAGTGACAGAACAGTCCTTCAATTTACACTAGAGGAAGATGAAATGAGAGACTTATTTTAAAACAAGTAATTTCCATTGTGTGAAGTGTCTGTTCTATCTCTCTCCATACATGACATCCACACACTTTGCTATGCTTTAGTTCCTTCCTGATCAATCTCAAATCTAACATAGTGTCAAGGTTTAAGCATGAATTAAAATATAATTTTTTGGTATTCAAACTGCACAACATTTTTAGTCTTCTTATTCTGCCAAAGGCCATTTCTAGTCAAGGTGACAGGGAATAACAAAACACTTCATCATGGACTTCACCAGCTTACAAGGGATTTCAAAGCTAAAAACATATCCAAAGCAAAAAGAGGTATGGAAAATAGCAACAGTTTTACCACTCAGGGATTCTTCTTTATTTAAATGTTCTGAGTTCTGTTTATTATACTTGTGTTTTACAGGCAATGACTAATGAACAGAGACTTTCTACCATTTTGATGTGTTAAAATAAATATTAGTCCAATGAATATTGGATGAAACACTATTTTGCTGCTCTGTGTGTGTGTCTACACCAGGAACTCTCAACGGATCCACTTCCTGTCCTTCTGCTTGTTTCTGTGCCTCCTGTGTCGGTTTTGTAACTGATTTTTTATGTTCTGGGGTCAGATTGTGATTGATCTGGTTATGTTTATTAGGATATTTTGTGCAATGTTGCTCATGTCTGAAGCCATTTCAGTTTGATTCATTTGTAAGATAAGGAGGATAAGCATAATGTGATTTTCCCAAGCTAACCAGATGTGCAATATGCAAATAGAAATGGTTTCTTTGCCTCAAATGATATAATGTTACCTGCACAAGAACTTCACATATTGCATTTGGAAATGTGATGTGCACAGATAACATCAGATTTCTCAGGAGGCATCTGATTTTTTCTGGTTGGTTGGGGTTGGTTTTGGTCAAGGCAGAACAAAGAGAAGTCCAGATCTACACTGAACATTCATAAGGGTTGGGTCATTCATTGAGGCTTATTTTTTGCCTGGGAACGCCCCAAAAAGCATGTCCAAAAAACCCTATCCAAAGAGGATTCTAAAATCAAAGGCTGCTCCAAGGCAGCATTGCTAGGCCAGTGGGGGATCAGAGCTTCTCTGCTGGGCCTACAACTTGTCTGCACAGAGTCAGGGTCAGGTTCAGCTTGTGTTAATCGCAGGAGCTCTTGCTGCAGGTTGGAGCGTTCAAGCCAGTAAGGCAAGTGTGATTTCTTCTCTAAGGGTACAGGAAAATCAGACAAAATATCAGCTGCCATATACATGTGTGTGTGTCCGTTTTAAGGTTCTTCCATCTAGGCAAGACACTGGCTCAAGTTTTGTGTGGCTATTTCTAGTTAGCAGCTCCACTTTAAATAAGATCCCAGTTTTCCAGGGTAAAGATTCCAGTGTCTGCAAGTACTTTTGCATTTAAAACAGCACAACAAATAGAGGAATTAACATCAGTATTGTACACTAGCTAGGATTCAGCTCTTTCCTTAATAGAAAATGCCTTGAAAACACGAGGGATGGGAAATAAAATGTTTTCCATCTATAGAAGAATATTTCAGGGATTTATTCTCTTTTCGTTCCTTTTTTTTTTGCCTTTTAAATTTTTTTTTTTTTTTTTTTGCATTCTTGAAGGATATACATTCCTCTTGATTTTTGCTTCCAAATACAGTTTAAGGCTATTTGGTAAAGTATATACCAGATATCAGGCTCAATTTACAGGGGTTTCTTCTCACAGAAGCTTCTCAAAACTTCATGTCTACAGATTCCTATCTTGAAGCCAAACACGCTTTCTCAGCTGTGCTGCAAAGACAGAACTCATGCTTAATACCACACACTGTAGGAAAAAGAGAAGGCAAAAGGAAAAGCAAAACCAACCAAAGAAAAGAAAACAGATTGGAAGTAATGTCAGATCTGCGTAACCTGCGACACTTGGTGCCTTCAGTCATCCCATCAGGCTGCAGGGGGTGGGATTCGCATTTAAAGTGCTCATCAGGTGAAGAACCAAAGTGCTCATCCAGTAGCTGTGCTGCCTATGGCTAAGTACATTGCTTGGTCACAGCAGGGACAGCAGCGCAGTGCCTGGGCTCCGTCCCACTGGGCTCACACTGCTTTGGCCTGAAGTTGTGTTCACGGGGGCTCAAACCTTGGGACTGGGGGCTGAGGGTTCCTCATCTTATTGCGTCTTCACCTGAAGACTGCTAAGGGCTGGGTGGGCTCTGCAAGGGAGGTGAAGTGGAGTAATTCTGTCTTAATTTGCTTCTGATTAAAGCCTCTCGACTGGCAGTTACCGCTTCTCTCTTCTGACAAAGTGAGGCTTGAAAATATATCCTTTCCCTTATATTCCATGGCTGGAAATCACTTATCTTGAGTCACGTTTTATGTCTGAAGCAAGCAAGAAGCTTTTTTCTTGCCAGAAATGATACTGCATAGAAAAATAGTTCTAAAAAAACCCAAACAAAACAAACCAAACAACTGTAAACCACAGTTCACCTTTACCTTAACATAACCATTTAAACTTATATATACTTACCACTCACATTCATATTTCTTAAACTGTTTACAACATCACAACTGGCATTTTAAACAGGCAAGATTTCTTGTTCTCAAGGATACCCTGGAAACTCAGTTGTCAGAACACTTGGAGAGTTTGAGATAGCACATGTAGCACAGCTCTTGAAATGAGAAAGAGGAGGTTTATAAAAGAAATGGTAACACGCAAAAGAACTGCTAAAAATGCAATGAGTGTTCCAAAGGAGAGAGTATAACTTTGTCTTTACACATCTTGCTACAGAAGATCTAACTTTTTAAGGCTTCCATTTTCCTTTCACCCATCACTCAAGTCCTCTTGCATTACAATTTTGCTTAGGTTTCAGGGCGCTGTCACACTGCTAACAGCAAGTGTTTCTCAGTGGGCATTCCCACCACCACCAGACTTGCTTGCTTCTTGCTTTCTGATGACCTTTGGAGCTTTAGTGGCTGGATATCCCTGTTCATCTCCAGAAAATTGCCATGAGAGAAGAGGCCTAATGTTATTCTGCAGTAACAAAGATGAGAAGAGTGGCAGAGTGCGTGGGTAAACATGTTAGCTGGGTTCTAGGAAAAGAAACTGGAGGTCAAAGAGATAAATGGGTTCTTTCTTTCCTGCTCTTTACATTTGTAGCACCTTCTACTTGGATTTAGCTAATGCCTCTAGTGAATGGTGAGATGCACCCATTTGGAGTTTGTTATTCTTATCCCTAATTCTCACACTTTTTATAAAAATAGAAATAACAAAAAGTAAGCTGGGTTCCATCTCAAGAGGTGTTTCTCGTTGTCCTCTGAGAATACATTGGATAAGTCAGGTCTGGACAAGCCCTATCCATTGTAGCTGATTGTAAGTCAGACAATAAATAGAAAAAGAAGTCGTTCCTGCGCTGAGCTCGCCAAACTCTGAGGAAATCAAAAGCATTCCACTGTGCTTATGGCACAAAGAACACGACAGCGAGGGCATAGTGAGTGGAGAGGATGAGACGGAAGTTACCAGGTGAGTGATAAACTGTACAAGCAGTGCGTTGTACAAAAGGAGCTGTGCAGCGCTGCCCTCAGAGCCGGGTCTGGGCCTCGGGGATATAGATCTCGATGCTGTCCGCACGCTCCGTGGCCGAGTTCTGCCGGAACGAGGCCGCTCGCTTGGCGGCCAGCAGCCGCC